GGATGCAGGAAAACTGCACAGTTGTGAGATGGTTAGTGAATTCTATGCAACCACATATTAGTTAACATTACCTGTGGATGGCAACTACAAAAGAAGTGTGGAAGTGTCACAAAGACCTATTCCCAAAAGCTTAATGTTGCTTGGGCCTACAAATTGAAGCATGATGTGAATAATCTTAGACAAGGGGAGAAGCCCTTAGCAATCTACTTCTCCATGCTGAAATCTCTTTGGGGTTGCACAAATTGTTTGGAGTTGCACAAAGGATGCAGAAACATATAGGAGGTTGGTGGAGAGAAATCGGGCCTTTGAGTTCCTCACCGGACTCAACTTGGAGTATGATATTGTGAGGCAGAATGTTTTAGCAAAGGATGGGGTGACTTTATCTTAGGCATATGCTATGGTGAGTAGTGAGGAGAGCAGAAGATCAGTCTGTTGAGCCGCAGGTTGATCACGATGCTAATGCGGGGATGAAGCCGAAGGTTAGCACTGGGAAGAAAGATGTTACCTGTGAATACTGCAAAATGCCTAAACATACTAAAGACACATATTAGAAGTTGCATCCAAATCTCATTCCTACAAGATTCAAGAAAGAAAAAGGTGGGAAAAGGGTTGAAACTGGAAAAGGTGAAAATGCAAATGCAGCCACCTCTTCGCAAGGTGAACAAGGACAGGGTGGAGAGAAGTCAGCTGAATATGAGAAGTATGGCCGAATCATCAGTCACTTGGAGTCCACTGCTATAGCTCCTTCAAAGRCTGTTCCTTCCTCTACATATGCCCACTTAGGCATTCATGCCACTGCACATCATGCTTCTATCTCAGGTACTCATAAAACCCCTTGCACAATTGATTCTGGTGCTTCTAACCATATGACCAGTGTTTCACAACTATTCACCTCTTACCAACTTCTTTTTGGTCGAGATAAGATATCCCTTGTCGATGACTCTCTAGCCCCTATCATGGGAAAGGGAGACATTAAAACCTTTAATGCCCTAACCTTATCATTTGTTTTTCGTGTACGGAAACTTATTACCAATTTGCTTTCAGTTAGTAATTTGACTAAATCCCTTAATTGCAGTGTGACCCTTTTTCCTTCATGTTGTGTTTTTCAGGACATGGAATCTCAGAAGGTGATTAGGAGTGGCCATGAGGCAAATGGGATTTATCTAATAGACATGCCTGAGCAGAGCCAAGTACAACCTAAGAGAACTGCATTTGTTTCAGAGTCCACTAGTCGTATTATGTTATGTCATAGTTGTTTGGGTCATTTGTCCTTTTCTTCATTGATTAAGTTGTTTCCAGAAATATTTAAAGGAATTAGTCTATCGAGTCTTCATTGTGAGTCTTGTGAGTTCTCAAAGCATTGTAAGAACACTTATCCTTCAAGTAATAAAAGATCAACTATTCATTTTAATATTGTTCACTCTGATGTGTGGGGGCCTTACCATTTACCATGTATGGGTGGGTATAAATATTTCATCCTATTTATTGATGACTTTTCACGATGTACTTGGATTTACCTTATGCGCTCATGGGCTGAAGTACCTAAACTTATGCAACAGTTCCATGAACACATGCTCACTCAGTTTAATACCCACATCAAAATATTCTGGTCAGACAATGCTAAGGAATATTTTGAGAAAGACCTTACTACCTCCTATCTTGAGAAGTTTGGGGTTATTCATCAAAATTCTTGTAACGCACTCCACAACAAAATGGAGTAGCGAAAAGGAAAAACAGACACATTGTGGAAGTTGCAAGGAGCATTCTTTTTGCTACCCATGTTCCTATGAAGTTTGGGTGATGCAGTTTTAACAGCTACCTACCTTATTAATTGCATGCCTTCTTGAGTCTTGGGRTCAAAATCTCCCTTTGCAAACCTCTTTCCTAATGTTGATATTTCCTCCATTCCTTTGAGGGTCTTTGGTTGCACTTGTTATGTCCACATTCCCAGCTCCAAAAGACACAAGTTTGACCCCAAGCTCAGAAGTGTATCTTCCTTGGTGATGCCTCCACACAGAAAGGGTACGGTTGTTTTGATCCCATTAGTGGCACCCGATTTGTTTCCATGGATGTCACCTTTGTAGAGTCGGTTCTTTTCTATAGCCATCCTTCTAAGGGGGARAGATATCTCGAGTTGTTTTCTTCATCCCTTCCTTTGCCAACTCCAGTTGAGTCTTGTGTTGAGCCCTCCACAGTTACCCCCATTCCCGTGGAGAGATCCTCTCTTTTGAGGTCTTCCACTCCTGCTCCTCCCCCTCCTCCT